ATCAGATCATTTCGACATGAGATCACGTGACATAGGAGTCCTTGTACAAGAATCTAACACGACCAACAAGAAATTGAGGAATACGACACAAACCAACAAGCTTATGTTATCAAAAACAGCAGAAAACGATTCTACTGATGTTGCAAACATCGACAAGATGTACTTTATAAATAAAGAGGTCAGTTCCAGTTTATAAAAAGATATGTTTGCATTAGTTAATTTTAATTCAGTGGCTTAAATTCTAGAAAGTTCTAAATAAACGTGGCTGATTCTTAATTTCTACGGGGCAGGACATAGAGAACCGAGTCTTGGAAAGAATGGATCACATCAAAAAAACCCTACTTGAAGTCAATTGTAAAATGGACCTCAATCAGATTATTTCTCAGATTCCTCTTTATCAAATGAAGTAAGTTTTCAGGTTTTCAGGTAAAGTTTTAAAACAGAGCTGAATTCTGAAAAGAACTATAAAATGAATTAAGCACCAAAGAGTTTAGCTCCCAATTTTCTCTTTTACTGAATTTATAAGTTGACTCTATAAATAGCACAGCTCCATAAACACGAACCCAAATTATTACAACCTAACTTTAATCCTACCCAAAATGAGAACCCCCTCCCCTCAGTGAAGTTAATATAAGTTGGTGTCCAGTCTTCAAATCTGGTAGCACAACCTGGAAGACGTATTTCATCAACAAGCTGGTACCCAATCACTCCTCGTATAACCTTAAAGAGTTAGACCGAAGAAAACTCAAAATTCGGTAGGTTTAGTATTCTAACTTCGACTTCAACATAGTCATAAACATATGAAGAAAAACCGTTTAATTTTAGCCTTACTTAGAATAATTCCTGGTGCATTGCTGCTCGCATATTCCAAAGATTTGTTCCCATTACTAATTTATATCTCAGCTATAATGACAGAACAAGAACAAGACTGTTTTCTGAGAATGAGGGTAACGCAAGATTCACTGTCGTCAGACATCCTTTATCCCGATTGGTCAGTAATATACTCGAATTCTTCTGCTGTGAATTTATTTAGCTCTCCAGCAATTTACATTTCCCATTCGTTCCACGTTTAAACTTTTGAGCCAATTACCTGCTAAATGCACTTGTCAATTTTCACTAGCGAGATCCAAAATGTCTGTTAACCATTTCCCGCAATTACTTGAGCTGATTTTTTGTTTTTGTAGATTAGTCACGCACATAACGCGGCTAAAGATCGAGAAATGGTTGCGATGGAGAAAGAATGGATTTCTAAAGCTATTCTAGTCAATAGATTGAAATTGTTAAAGCCAAAGGACAATCGGAAGAAAAAACAATACGAAGAAGAGTTCAAAAATTATTTTTTATGGGTACGATGAGGTTTCATGCTAGATACTCATACAGTACTCAAGTAGTATTTGATTGAAGTCTTTCCTGCTACTCCTAGGGAAGCCTATCTCAATTTCATATCGATCAATACATTTTTTCTTATAAAAAAATACATAAAGTTGTTCTCATCCATGAGTTCTACTTCTAGTTTAAGCAAGTTGCACATGTAAAATTTCAATTTCCATTAAATATGATCAGAGCTTCCGTTAACACATTATATAGCTGATACTGATGGAAGACATTTCAGCTAAGAAGTAGAAGAAAAGGGCCAATTAAAATAACTGAAGGGAACGTATTCTTGGAACCTCCCTATCCCCTGCTAGATGATCTTGTCAGCCACATTATCAGGTTTATCAATTTTTTCCTTAGTTGTTATGGACGGTTGATTTCGGAATAAAAAATGTTTTTAACCACCTTTTAAATAAAACGATAAAAAAGATTTTAGTTTATACTTTTCAAAAATTTCAAAATTGTTGATGTTTTCAAAATTTTGGTCATTTCAACAGTTAGTATTTATGTTTTCATTAGTGAACTTCTGAATAGAAAGGAAATTGCGATAAAATTAACTATTCAGTGGGTAAATCACACAATCTGTCTAATATAATACGAACAATAAATTAGTCAAAATATTTTATTGTTTTTTATTGTTTAGAACTGAAACGGACGTTTCTAACGTTCTTAACAACTAAGCTATTTTCATTTCACTTTTAATTTTGCTTTTAATTTTGCTTTCGATAATAACTCCATTCAACATTTAATTTCTCTTATATACTTAATTTTTCGCTGATTCGTTAAGTTTACAAACACAAAACATTGACCATGTCTTATTTATCAGGTCTTATTTATCAGGTCTTATGCTTGAGATCAGTCGAAAGAAATACTTAATATTTGTCACTTACGTAGTTGATACAACAGACGGTGCCATTTAAAAAACAATTTATACTGACATCCAAGCTGTCCCGACAGTGACGGAGGTTTATAATTCTAATATTTAATCGCTGTCAGTGACAGCTGTTAAATATGTGTCAATTATTAGTATTTCTGTCTGTGTATGAATTTTATAGTATTATTTAGTATTTATTTGAATTTGAAATATACGATAAGATACGAAGTGGCTGTAAGCGTGAGTCAGTAGGTTGTATAACTATACCACGGGGGGGGGGGGGGGGGGGGGGTATACTACAAGCATCTTAAAGAACTAAGTTACTACTCTCTAGCCCTGACTAACTCTCGCTCCTCCGCAGAACTAAGTCCCACAACGGACACTGGACCCCTGCGTGGAGGTGGTGTAGATTGTGCAAAGTGGACTATCACTACATCATCAAACTAGAAGAACAGCCACTAGAGCTGTGGTACTTGCTGGATAAGCTGGGACTGTGGGAGGACCGTACTCAGTTCCTCACTAAGACTAACAACTCCCAGAACCCAGCCCAATTGAGCGAGCAGGAGCTTTTTGAGAAGGAACTGAGGATGTTAGACAATGAGCAGCGAGAGTGGGTCAACAAGTACTTTGAGAACGACTTCAAGCTATTCGGCTATGAGAAGTTAAAGTTAGATTACAACGATAATGTTTTAGATAAGGGAGTTAACATTTTTTAGGTGTCTGTACAGAGCATGCTGAAGTTTTAGTTGTCTTTATTGATCAGCCTGTGAGCCTCTAGAAAAATGTAAGACTATACATTTGGGGCATAGTCGGGGCAAATACAGTTGGGCACACTTGGGGCACAGTCGAGGCAAAATATGACTTGAAGCACAGTTTTGGGAAACTAAACACACTTGGGACACCATTGGGGCACAGCTGGGGCAAAAAGTTACTTGGGGCACAATCGGGCAAAAACAGTTGATTTGATTTGAAACTTTTACAAAATAGCAAATATACAAATGTACAGCAAGTCGAACAAACATATAAAATGGGCCGAAATGTATAAATGCTATAAAGCGTGGGTCAGTGAAACAAGTACAGAGGACAACTTTCAAAACAGGAGTTTTATGGCCGCCCAAAGTCTCAATAACATCACCTCCACCTAGTAATAAAATTATGAAATATGAAAAGTGTGAAACAATCAAATAATAAAATATTCAAAATATATAGTTGTCTCTTAAATACAGATAACGTCTGAAAATTCTTAAAATAATCATCACTCCTTCATATACTGATCAGTGTCCGAGAATGTAACTCATGATGACTTCTTATCACGGCTACATACCTTCCCGTACCGGATGTAGTGGTCGAGATGAGTCTGTTCCGCCCTCTTCTTCTTCAGGTCAGTGACCAGATGCTTCCTTGTTGCTCGTTCTTCGCTGGATCTGTCTGGACATATCCATACATCTTTGTGATTCTCCCTCAGTCTCCCTGTTTTCATCAGAATCTGATGAACCGCTGTTGAGCTTGGGACGGTGATCTTGACTGGTCGGATAGCCGTACTACCTGGCCTCTTCCAACCGACTCTAGTCGCTTCGAAGTGAGGTTTCTCCCCGATCTCCTCCAAAACTGCGGTTACTAGCGCTGGAAGCTGTTCTTCCTCCTCTTCTTTCAGCCCAAACACGATCAGGTTCTTGCTCCTGTCCTCCTCTGCAGCCACACCTTCTTCAGGATTTTACTGTTGCAGACCGTACCACTTGCACTGTTCTGTTGAACAGCTGCACTATAGTTCTGAATCCCTGACTCCACCGTTGTTTGGACTGTCTCCTCAACAGACGTCTTAAGCAACTGTAGTTGTTCGTCCTTCTGCATCAGCAGCTGGCCCTGCGGCCTGCAGTCTGATCACCTTTTCTTTGTCTGCTAGTGCTTCCGTCTTGAAGCACTCGATGATCTCCTTCAAGAGATACATCTGACTACTCTGCCGACGAACAAGGTCCACTGCATCCACAATCCAGCCAGACAGAGTCTGTTTATCCTTAGTCTTGATCTTTTCACGACTATCGTAGTCAATTTCACGGTAGTCTATATGTAGGTCTTTTTCTAACTGATCGGACCAGCGTGCAACACAGCCTTCCACATCTTCCTGTTGATCATAGTTGAACTCCTTAATCAACTCCTGGGATCGGGTCAAAGTTGGGTCATCCCCCATAGTGTACTTGTATAGTAATGTACAAGTACACACGCAAAGGTAAACTACGCGGTAGCAGCAAACTGAACTTATTGCAAATTTACAAAAGATAAGAGAGCTCGATATTTGCAACACAAGCTACACTGATTACACACTGATTGAAGCACAAGCCACAATTTTATGCCCCAGGTGTGCCTAGCTAGATTACCAACTGGACATAGGACCAAAATCAAAACTTCCTGCGGCATTGATGAGGCCAGTTATATGGGATGCCACTAACCGCTTACGGATTCAACTTCAATAGTTATGCATCTCAGCTACCTCATCAAAACCATACTTGACAAATAGAGCCAACGTAGAAATCAACTCGCTGGTAGCAACTAGTGAACTAGCAAGGCTATATTATAGAGACCAATAAACGATAAGAATATTGATTATATTGATTATATTAATATCGATGATGCTACTGATATTCCTTATTTTATCATTGTAAATTGTATTGTTTGATGTAAATTATTAAAAAAAAAGGTTATTTTTGTATACTTGAGGGGTAATTTAAGTTATAACACTATTTGAACACAAGAGTTTCAGTTTTTGAACAATAATTTAAGATTACAAAATAAATATTTAACATACCAACAATTACATTGAAATTACCAAAAATAAAAATGTAGTATATTTCAAGACTGGCAGAACAAACATTAATCCATCCATGTTAATTTCTGAATAAAACATAAATTAAATATAACCCCTGTATATATCACATCATCAAGAATCACCTTTGTCCCTTCGATACCCAAACATTTTGAAATCCACATCAAAATGCCTGCTCAAAAAATCGACGTGTTCTTTTTTTAACTTTTTGATTTCCTCCCAAACTTCGCCCAACTCAGTTTCTTTCTTAGTCGAGTTATTAGCCCTATTTAAAAACAGTGTCCTGTCTTTCCAAAGACCCAACTTTTCTGCTAAATACCAAAGCTCTAACGGTTCGTCTTCTAGTCGGATGATGTAGTTGAACTTGTTAACGCAGAGGTTGCAGAACTCGTGAGCTGGCATCCAGTGCCCGTCCCAGTCTCGTCCACTTCTTCTCATCCTGAAATACCAAACATTCAAATAACTTGTATCAGATGAAGAGATTATTCCAAATTAAAAATTCGCATAGGATAAAGCAATCATTAAAATATAATGTTAAAAATAAAGTTGAATCTATCGAGTAGTAAGTACATCAGTGATCGCATCAAATATCTAATAAATGTGCAACAGGGTATTTATATTGTTAAATTGGTAAAAAATAAAACAACTCAGTAGCTGCGGTAGTAGTATACTAACTTGATAATGTGGTTGACTAGTTCTGATAGTTTGGGGTAAGGAGGGTTAAGAAAAGGGTTATCTGGGGACCCATCTTTAAACACCTCCCCTGGTTTCCCGCTCTTCAACTGAAAATATTTACTGTTACTATGGTTACTGTTACTACGGTTACTATTTAAGGGGACATACACCAACATCTTTTATGCCCTGGCCCCGCTGTTAACGTCATATTAAGAAACTATACAGGAATTAAACAGGAATTAAACAGGAATTAAACAAAATTGGGTCAAACGGCAGATGCCGTGTCTGACCAATATAGGAATAGAAGGTTTAATATTCAAAACTACCCCAATGTAACAAATAACCAAACAAGGTGGTAAAAGTAGATAGCCATGTAAAAGAATATAGCACAGATAGCACAGTCGTATGCAGAAAAAACTCAGCCAAGAGCACTCAAAAATGACAATGAAAGTATCATACAATGTCCACACACTTATCAAAATATACAAAACACGACATTCATTCAGTATTTTTCTTTGGGAACCTCCGTTCATCGACCTTATTTAAAAACCGTCCAATGTCTCTAATAGTTGTTGAGTCGTCGAAGATTTCTCCCGGTTCTTCTCTCATTACTAACAGGTCCCTCGTTCGTTGATGCAGGTTTTTGCGTAGGTCTTCGTATAGGGGGCATTCGTAGAGGATGTGATGCTCATCTTCTATCACTGGATAGGCCCCTGGTAGCTCATAGAGAAGATCTAACAAGTCATCGTCACTTGAGCAGCAATGTCTGCAGGCCCGATGTTTTATGTTAAACCGCTTTTTGCCGTAGCGACCAGTTTCAACGTTAAAGCGGTGGGAGCTGCTTCTGAATTGCGCGATCTTCTTTGAGCAGTTAGGTTTAAGATCAAGGGCTAGATACGTCTCTTGAGCAAACTTTCTCTTCACTAAGTTGTAGAATGATAGTTTTCTGTTAGATGACCTTTCTGTTTCCCATGAGTTTATAAACCACTTTTGCAAACTCTTTCTAATCTGGCTTGGTCTTAATCCTTGGTTTCTCTCTGATGCCTCGATGGTTTCTTGCATCTGCTCGAGAGTGGAGAACCAGCTCAGGTTTAGGGTCGCCTGCTCTTCGAAAGCGTGTCTAGCAAAGCAGTCACGGCCGTCTACAACCATTTGTTCAAGTCTTTCTTTGTAGTTGAACACTTGCTTTGATAGCGTGATGCCTAGTGGATGCCTGCCTGTGTCACCCCATATCGCAGCATTGGATGTTGACTTCCTCACCCCTAAGGTCCATTTCAAAAGAGACAGATGAAAGTTCTCTAGAGGGTCCCTGGCAATGAGTGTACACACGTTTCCTGTTTCTGGTGTGGTGCTCGTGTTTGTGGGGAAGTTGCGGAACAGAGCTGTGCTTGGCAGCCACACTTGGCAACCATACGACACCACAGGTACAATAAGTGTATCATATAGCTTGAACAGTATCGATTTCCTGATGTGGCGGGTATCAATGTAGCTTTTCAAAGAGAAATAACTTCTTAATGCTTTTTGCCTCAGCTTTTGTTGTGTTAGCTTAAGTGATCCGCTCAGAGTAAATGTAATGCCAAGGTAACAGTACTCTCTCCCGGAGGGGATCTGTTGTTCTCCCAGTTTGAACTCATGACTTTCCTTCAGATGCCTTCCTGTTGGGTTAAACACAAGGACTGAAGTTTTTCCAATGTTTACTGTCAGGCCCCATTCTGAGCAGTAGTTGTTTAGGACATCAAGCATTTGTTGAAGACTGTGTTTGTTGAGGGCTAGAAGGACAAGGTCGTCTGCCCATAGCAGATGAGTTATATCTGTATCATTTAGGACAGGGACTTTCACTCCTTCGATGTTGTTGAGATCATGTGAAAGCTGGTGGACAAAGCATTTAAACAATTCAGGGGACATGGGGTGTCCTTGCTCGGTACCACATAATATGTCGATCTTCTGTGACAGCTTGTCTAGTAGCTTCACTTTGGCTGAGGAGTTTGAGTACATGAACTTAATGCACTCAAAGAATCTCCCTTGAATACCCATTTTCCACAACTTGTATAGGAGTGCCTCACGACAGATGGAATCAAACGCTTTGGCATAATCGACAAAGCATGTGTATAGCCTCTGGCGTTTCTTGGTGACATACTTTTCCACGCAGGTTGAAAGTGTGAAAATGTGGTCTGCTGTCTGTGCGTCTTTACAGAAACCTAGTTGGTTGGCTGTATCAGGATCACATTGATCACGGAATGATATCAATCTTTTCAGCAATATGCTTGCAAAGAGCTTTCCGAGATTGCTCGCTACAGCGATGGCTCTGTAGTTGTTTGGATCATAGATATCACCTTTTTTGTGTAGTGGTGTAACTACTGATGAAGTCCATGGGTAAATTGATAGGCTTAGGCAGTGGTTGAAGAGGTTGAGGACTGCTTTGAGCATGGATCGTGTTGAGGCTTTGAAGAATTCATTAGAAATTAGATCTTCGGAAACTGCCTTTCCTTTTTTAGTGGCCTTAATGCAAGCACACAGCTCTTCCATCTTTATATCTTGATCCAAAAGCTTGGTCAGGTCGTCACAAATGTTGTTTTTCTGCATCTTTGACTGTAGCTCTGCGATCTTAGAGTCTTTGATGTTCTTTTTGCCGTAAAGTTCACTGAAGAACTTGCAAAAGTTGATCATATCGAAGGCATCAAGACTGGTTGCAGGCGATTTTGTATTTTTAAGAGCTTTGAAGGATTTCCAGCAGATGTTGTTCCCTGTTTCTATGTCCTTGCAAAGCTTCTCAAAGAATTCTGATCGCTTATGTCTGATCATCTTTCTATATTGTCGCCGTGTGTCGTAATAAGAGTCCCTGAGGAGCTTGTCCAATGGGGATCTTCCATACTTTTTTGCTAGAATGTTGAGTGTCCTCTTAAGACGGATACATTCACTGTCAAACCATGCCATTTTTGGCTTCATTCGACTCTTCTTTTTGGTGCTACCATATTTATTATGTCTCGGCCCTTTCTGACGACTTGAGGCGTTTTTTCGGGGCATCACTTGTTCAGCAACCTGATGATACAGCTCAACAATTTGGTTGTTAAGGTTAAGAACGTCTTGAGGGGTTTTGCATGAACTTGTAGCCAGAGTTTCCGTCTTTTCCTTTATACTAGGGTCACCCATAGCTAGCAAGAATTTGAGCTCAGCATTATCCTCACATGGCCATTTGTACTTCCTGGGCGCGTCCTCGAGGTCACGCAGTATTTCTTCTGAAAGGGTTATGTTGTGTCTCAGGCTAAGTGTTGTGACAGAGGGTTTGTGATCGGAGAATTTGTTCAAATCAAGGACTCTAAAACTCTTAACGATCGCTTTTATGTCAGCTCCTACAGCAACATAGTCTACAACGCTAGCTCCGCCATAATTCACCGATGTGAATTCCCCTAAGGAATCGCCAAGTACGCTGCCGTTTAGGATGGTTAGATTTGCACAGGCCAGAAAGTCAAGGAGTAACTTTCCTCTAGGATTAACCATCTGGTCCTTGCTAGAACGATCATTGAGACAGGGGTGGCTGCGTTGGCTAAATGGGTTTGCAGCAGATAATGCTTCAGTATCTTCCTCGATGGTGTTGTTCAAGGTTGCGGTCCTTGCATTGAAATCACCTGCTAGTATCACCTTCCTACCGTTTTGAATACTATTCATGGTGAAGTCAAGTAAGTTGTCTAGAGTTGAAGCATCGTCATCGGATGTAATTTTGCATGATTTCAATCTCTTCTTGTAGGAAGAGTGCTCAGGTGAGTCGTATAAGTTGATGATAACTAGTTCATCGACAGCACTCTCACTTCCTAGTTTTATCCTTACTGATTGGATGTCACTACAATTGGATGTTATTTCTTTGATATCCTTGGCAATAGACCTGTGGACACCAATGCAAAGTCCACCTGAGCGACTGTTTGGTCTGTTAGCATTAAAACATTTGTAGTCTGGAACAAATATTTTACTCTTGGTTTCCTGAAGACAGAAAATGGGACAAGAAGTGACAATGGCAGCAAATTCAGTATCATCAATTTTCCTGCCTTCTTTCCCGTTTGAAGCATCGTGTATGTTCCACGAAAGGATTTTCAATGTCTCCCTGTTGTGGGAAGGCAATCTGATCAGGACATCAGTTGTTTTGGGACTATCCATTATGGTTTTTCTTCTGTTGAGGTTTGATTGAGTTTTTAGTCCCTCTTGATAGCTCAATGTCGAGAGATCTAAATAGCCCGTCACGGAGATGAAGCCACAATTTCCGAGCCCCTCGTTCATCGAGACCCAACAAGACTCCATGTGGTCCTACGCTGCGCTGGATGAATCCTCCGAGATTGTCATTGTTTTGCGTGCATATTTTTATGTCTAGGCTAGCATTAATCTTGGATTTGACGTATTCGCTTAGTTCAGAGTTTATCTGTCTTATGGTACTGCTGACTTGTGGATAGCCGGGGAGTGGAATAATCTGCGAAACACATATCTTTGCTGAGGTTGCTTTTGTTAGGTCATCCAAGATTTTCTTCATACCATCTAGTATCGTGTTTCCTGGCGTATTCATCAGAACATCAAGTTGCCCTAGATGGATATAAATGGCTTCAGGGTTGATTTCTGAGACTTTTTTGACTAAGTTTTGGTCCCTGCTAGCTGATACGGCAGTATCATATTCTATCCTCTTGACATCAAAACGTTTCGTGAATCTTGATTCGTCGAAGGTATTGAAGTGTGCGTCGTGAATGACTACACATTTCCGGGTGTGCCAATGTTGAGGATTGAAGTTGTCACGACGGTACGTTTCACGGTTAACAGGGGTGCCATCACTGTTATTTTTGCTTTGTTTATTGGCACCAGCAGTTGTCGTGCTTTTAGTGGTTCCCTCGGACAAAAAGGTGACTGGGTCTTCAGCCTTTTGACTCGGCATATTCTCTTTCTTTCCTTTGTGTGGTGCCGTGCGTTTTTTGTCGTTTGGTCTTGTAAGGGGGTCCTCGGGGGTTTTGTTGGCGGCATCGTTTTGGTGTTTCGGTTCAAAACTATTAGCGCGAGGTTTGTTAGCAGACTGGATGTTACCTTCTTGACCTGCTGTGTTGATTTTAGGCAGATCTTTGAAACACGCTGTAATCTCTCGGCTGATAAGTTCAAACCCTTCTCGTTGTCCTTGGAGAATCTTGTCTCCTAAATCATTCGTAGCGCGTCTATTGAAATTTTCCAAATGACTTAGAATCGCACTTTTTTCGTCGACTCCATCATATTGGTTGGGATAATTGACCCCGTTCGAATGACTTCCGGGTACACTCTTCATCCCCATGATATCGGATTTGAGTTTGCTGAGTTCTTCGCTGTGTCTAGCCTGTATTATGCGTATCTCATTGGATTGGTTCGGCTCGTTGTTTTTCATTCTTGCGAGCTCGCTTTTTAAGTAGTTAACCTCCTTGGCTGAATCAGCTATCTGTTTTTCAAGTTCAAGGGTCTTGGATCGAAAAACCTTTTCTGCCGTTGCTCTGTGAGCTTGGTCTTGGATACGTTTCCGTTCTTTTTCTCCTTCTATCATTCTGTCCATGATATTGTCGATAGAGTTTTGCTGAATATTTAGGGTATCAAATATTGTTTTGTTTTTGTTGACCAGCGTGGCTAGAGATTTCGAGCTGGTTAGTAGGGCGCTGGAGTTGAGTTGACTGGCTAAGGAGGACAGAACTGAATCTTGGTTTGCTAGCTTTTCTTGGAATTCTAGTAAGTTCTGCTCAAGGAGTCGTATTGAGTTTTCTATCGATTCGTGAGTGCTGCAAGGGACCTTAATTTTGCCGGGGGTTAAGATCTGTCTTGCTTTCCTCGTCTTCTTAACTTTGACCTTTACTTTCTTTTCTGTATTCTGCGTCTTGCCCTGTGCACTGTTACTGGAGCTGTTGTTCGAGTTACAGCTTTTGTAGCCCTTTCTGCTAGAGGCATTGCTGAGTTCAGAAGATATTGACTCAGAGTCAGTCTCAGAGTTAATGAGATCTGGAGGATTTGCCTTTCTAGCTTCGCGCCCAATAGTGTTGACGTGGTCACGCAGCAGTTTCTTTTTATTGTCAACAGGAGTTTGCGGGTTGAAGTTTATTTCAAACCTTTTGAGTTCTCGATCTAGCGAATCAACTGCCATTTTCTCGACCAGACTAGTTATGAGAGGTGCTGACGGGTACGTGCTGTATTTGTTGTCAATCACAAGGTTAAAAAACGCTTTAATTGCAGTTTGACTTCGCTCGTTTGTTTTCTGACTGGTTAGGCCACAAAGGTCTATCCACTTGTTGAGATTCTTAGACGAGGCACTGTTAAGAATCTTGTCGCAGGTATCTCTCGAGAAAAATCGCAGTTGTTTTTCAACAATGGTGGTGTCGTCTTGTTTATCTTGTAAGTCGGGCAGACTTCCGTTGTCACCCTCACAATGAAGTTGTTCAGGGGCGGGGACGTTGCTTGCTAAACCAGTTATCCCTTGTACTGCGTCAGTTAGGGGACTACAGTGGGTGTTTTCAGGAGCTGGTTGGAGAACAATTGGCGTCCTGTGTCGTTTGCGTTGCAGTTGTACTAGTAAGTGAAAATCTAGTTCATCCTCGAGGGGTTTTTCTATAGCCAGGCTAATGCTCATATCCCTTCTGGTCTTTTCTAGGACGGATAAGGCTGTAAGGTTGCCTAGGCATAGGTCAAAGACATCCATCAGGTCGTTGTTGAATCTCTTTGGTATGATGTTAACTGCACGCTCTCGGCCTAAATGGAGTAACACTAGTGCATCAGTGACTTCTTCGTCTCCCTGTAGTGTGATAGGAACCTTGTCGCTCCTTCCAAGTAGACTAGTAACTCTGAGCGAGTTAAAGGCAGTGGAGGGCGATTCCAGGTTTGTGTCGTGGTAATGACGATTGAGTTTAACCAGCAATTTTGACAGAATATCTGCCTTATCATCATTTTCAATAGCCTCTATGTCTGACAGGTTCCAGGTTAAGCTGATGCATTTGCTGTGGGCTTGTTGCTCAAGGAGGTGTACTTCAGACGCGAATAATCTGGTTGATTGGTATTTCTCATTGAGAGCATTTTCAAGAGCAGCGACAAGATTGACTGGCGTGACGATCTCATCATCTTTAAGGAAATCTTGTTTAATATGGATCAGCGTGTTCCTACCTGGAGAGCAGTCATGGTACCCTTCGTCGTCAATTCTGATACACTCGAGTTTGCGGGGTGACTCAAAGAGGTCCTGTGAGTCAGCTGCGGATTCAGAGAGGTACCGTCTTTTAACGGGCGTGTCACTTGCAAACTCATACTCAGTCTGTGCTCTGAGCTTCCTTTTCAAAATCGCAGAAGGTTGCTCATGTTGAAAGATACTCCCTACAGACTTGCTCCTTGAACGAATTTGAAGAGTTCGTGAACGAGGTGAGAGCAAGTGTTCATGTTTAGGGCTGTGTAAAAGAACAGGAGTAATCGTTGGTTTTCCTGTTCCTGTATAGTATTCACCGTCTGTATTCGGGTCGTTTTGTTTCTTGGCGGGGGTAATCTCGATCGTTGGTAGTGGTCTGGATGGCTTGCTTCTGGGTTTCGGGGTTATAACGAGATCACCTCCTTTACCTAGGGATATACTCACGCTAAGATCGATTGTATCGTCTAGATCTAAATCCGAGCTGATTGAGTGGTTGCCGAATAAGGACATATTTCCCAGAGTTTCAAATAACTGTTGCGATATTCTTCCTAAAATGGTCTTGTCCAGCATTTCGACTTTCCCTGTTGGGGGGATCGGACTCACACACAACGGTGGGTTGATCGGTTCGGAGTCTGATTCACATCTACTGAGGATCTTCGTTTTGCTTCGCTCCTCACCGTCCTCGCCGTCTTCGTCATCATCATTGTTTGATTGGGAGCTTCCTGGGTTTGACTTTCTAACAAGGCCAACATAAAAACAATAAGATTTGGTACATTAACAATTATTTTTGAGGACCCGCACTTTCGAAAAAATAAATATTTTCTTTTTCGAAATTTTTGGAAATTTTGAGAAGTCTGTCACTGTAATACCGATATTTCGGTCATTTTAAACGTTTATTGACTGATTTTTTAACTGAACATTATTTATAATCCGTACAAGAAGCCCTTCAAAGGATTTTATAATTAAAAAATAGATGAAGAAGTTACAGACCAAACAAGGTCGAGAGAAGCAAAATTGAAATTTTTGTAAAAATCAAAGTTGTATATTTTACCATTCACTCAGGTCATAAGATATCGCTTCAAAAATTCTTGTGAGTGTAGCTGATGATCATATCCAACTTTTTGGAACAGGATTTCTCTCAATTTTGAGTTTTAAGGTATGAAATGTGGCCTCAAACGACTTAGTAAAATTCATCGTAAAAAGGGCCAAACATGGCAGATTTAAGGCTTAAAATGCCTATAACTCACAAAGTATCAGTTTTTTTGAAATAATTTTTACAGAATCGTAATCAGCTTGAGAAGACGAATCTTTTAGTACCAAATAGGTGATTTTAGAAGACAAATTGTCTTAAATAATTTTCTAGCTCGAACACAAGGGTCCCCCCTAATATAAATTTTGTACAAATTGTACACATTTTTTTACAAATTTTGTGTCTTTAACTATTATAAATTTGGTACTAAAAGATTCGTCTTACCAAGCTGATTACGATCCTGTAAAAATTATTTCAAAAAAACTGATCAATACTTTTTGAGTTATAGGCATTTTAAGCCTTAAATCTGCCATGTTTGGCCCTTTTTACGATGAATTTTACTTACTGGTTATACGGTTACCATTACACTCTAGTTATATTATATTAGTATGAACATGATCCAGTTATAGCGCAGAAAATCAAACAGAACTTGGTATTTTTAATGATGGAACGCCTCAGAATTTGATAACTCACCCAGTTAAAGTACATTGTGAACTCAGACTTGTATCTAAATAAGTCAGCATTGTTAGCAGCAAGGTGAGCTCTGCTGGACACTATGGAACTCTCTATCCAGAGTCCTCGCTGGTTCACCATCTCGTGATCTCGTCCTGAGCTCTTTACGTGGCTCACCTGGGGACATGGGTCAAGGTCAGATAAAGATTATCTATTATAATGATTATCAGGGATTAGGGAGCATTTGAAAACTGGAGCTCATCTCGTATCTTCCTATGTTCCATCAAAGTATAGCATTTCATGAGAGATACAGTAGAGATCAGAGCTGTCAAACATATCTGATCATCATGGTGTGTAATGTTGTAACAATTATCGAAACCATATTTTTGACCTCTAAGTTCTAACACGTCTAAAAATAGCTTCTCAAACTAACCAGCCTTGAGTACGGATGTCTGACTATGGTAAAACGTATATTCTCTTCATTCTCGTCGCGAAAATGCTGTTTCATATCTTCGATCCTCCGCTTCGTAGACTGCAAAAGGAAATCGATAAATATAAAAATTTACAATATATATATATAATTACCTATAGGCATCTAGAGCACAATGGTATCAAACGAATCTAACACCATAATTAACCACTGACGTATAAAGAACAAACTCCATTATCAATGGCGTTATAACATCATAATTTTAACAAAACAGAACCAACAACTAAGTTCCTCTAAACAATTACTTACCCCCGGTAGCTGGTGAGGTTTGAGCAGGTTCAGGTTGTACTCCTCAGGTGGGTTGGGCACGTACTTGTCTATGAAGTAGTTCCTCCAAGTGGTACTACCTGATTTGAACACGGGACACCACGTGAGCCCAATATCACTGGAAGGGGGTTTAGTTAGAGTTGTGACGTCACAAATTGTGACGTCATATCGCAAAACATGACGTCATATTTGTGTTATGAAACAATTTCATACAATTGGCTCCGCAGTTTACAAGAGTTAATTTATATTCAAACAGACTGTAGCTCAAAAAAGGAAACCAGTGCACCATTCTATACATACTTGAATTGATAGAGATTGTACTGAGTGGACCTCTTGAAATTAATCTGCTCGCAAACATTTCGTACGTTTTTCATCCTTTTTGCAAGCCTCTCTTCAATAACCTGAAATGAAATTTATATTTACAAATATATTTATTTAGTTCGTTATCATCCCAGAAATTCTTGGAAGAAATATAACGCTCTTTTAAGAAGAAAGCGACATTTCCAATTCTAGAGAGGACGTCCATCTCCAACAAACTCGAAGTACAAAAACCTGATAGTTGTATCTGTAGTAGTTATCAAGGTAAGTGACATTGTGAAGATCCACGTGAGTAACCCTGGATATGTTATACAGCGAATCCAGCTGCTTCAGCTTCAATCCCGTATCTATCATTAGCTGCTTCAGGTGAGGTACAACATCAGTAGCTATTTCGTCATGCCCGTCATACTTGAACCCACCCTCGATTGGGCGGCCTTGTTTATTTGCTGTGATATCCTCGCTATCTCCAGCAGAGTCCGGCTTCTTCGTTTCCTGATAGTTATTGACTTCGAGGTTTGGCGCTGGCTGAGGGTTCGAGGGTTGGTTTTTCTGAGGGTTGGAGTCTAGTTGTTGTTGCTCTAGAGGTGTGGATTGTTTGTCTGCAGCGATTTGGGTATTCGTTTCTTCCGGTTGTGTTTGTAGTTTATATTTAGAACCTGGTGGTGATAAGGTTTTTAAAAATTAATTTGAACTGTTTACATAGTCATTAATTATGATGTGGCAGGTTACAAACCATTACATTTTGTTTATATATTTGTAATCTAAGATCGAACTTCAAACAGTTAAGGAGCGTATCTGGAACTTTGGACAGCTCTAACGACGTAGGGTAATATTACCAGTTACCTAAGGAAGATTGAGCACCAGCAAAAGCTTCCCTATTTGGCTCTCCCATACGGTTCCATAAAGCTTCATCGTTTCCTCTGGTTGTCTCAGGTGAATGATCACGTGATAGCTCACTACCAAGTGACACGCTAGTCTCCTCCGGTATGTAAAGGTAACCTGGGATAGTTAGCTGTTAGGATATCGTGGCTAACATTTGTTGTTTTTAGTATTTAAACAGGAGTATAAACCAAAATCTCAAGCTCAAAACCGATAATGTTTGATTAAAATTCTAGCTGTTTAAGTAATAAACAAAAGTACCAATCGCTGACCTAGAATCAGTAGTATAGATAGGAAAGCCACTAGTACATATCTTTTGGCTGCTTGCATCGAAAGAACACCAAGTTGAGACGAGTAAGGTGCTCCCTTTCAAGAAGCACCCTTATCAAATCTGCCGCTTCGTTACCACTTTTGGGGGCATGCAGCAGGTTCTTTTGGTTCAGAATTCTAAATATTCATCCGAGCTATACCAGGCATCCCTGATACAATTAATTAAATTAAATACATAAATATAAGTTTAGAATTTCTATTCGGGCAATCTTAGATCGAATTGACTAACAACAAAAAAGTTTGTAATTATTCAAACATTAAACAAACCGAGCGATATGTGACAACGTAAGACAGCTCAAAATAATGTAGCCGCTTCTTCAAGAAGAATGTAGCCGCTTCTTCAAGAAGAATGTAGCCGCTTCTTCAAGAAGAATGTAGCCGCTTCTTCAAGAAGCCGCTTCTTGCCCCCTCACAAGTTTCAAACGTGAGATCAATTACCTGCCTATGTGACCTACCTAATTACTCAATTACAAACTTTTCGCTGCCGTTTATTACGTCACGTGACTTAGCTTTAAGTTTACTATTATATACAACCCTCAGTCGTCGGTCTATAATGAGAGTATGACACACTATAATATATAGTTTGCCTATTAGGAGAAGCTACTATGTCGAAATGGAAGAAACGAGCTTCAGCTCCGGCACTTTGTTGTTAGTGTGCTTACACGCAGAAATACAGGCCCGATCATATCCCGCCAAAGGCCTAAGAGTCAGCACATCAGTATTTGATATTGGAAGATGATAAACAAGAATTACTGATATGAAGAGGCCTGTAAGCTCTAATCAGTGCTTCCCTTGTTAAACAACAACACACTGTCATCTCCTAATTGTACAAGCTCAAGTGCTGATATGATAAGCTAAACACTGTTATTAGTAGCATTAGCACGCTGCTGTTGCTGCACATTCCAGAGTGTAAAGTGTAGACAGACTAGTTGAAACTTCCTACAAGCCTGCTCTCAGAGTTGAGCTTCATACCTTATAACCATGAACTAATATAAATAAGGTGAAAAACTGTCGGAGAAAACAAAACTGGCTAAAATAATGTGTAACTGCACCGAAATACACCAGATTCTGTGATTGTCTGATGTATATCTCCAAAAGAGCGTACAAGCACAAATTAAAAGGTAATCAAATTGGATTGCGGAGCGTACGTAGCGATCGGTATATTTAGCGATAGGAAATAGCTGGCACCCATACAATTCACACAATCCACTCAAACAGCTAGGTGAGCAGCAGGCGTGTATAAGGTATAGTTGGTATGTGTTCTATGTGGACCGTATTGAAAACAAGTGATAATACTTCTAATGTTACATCGAAACACATGAAGGTCTGAATGCAAGAGGTACGAGTGAGTACTACACAGAAAGGATGTGGCAAATTTGGAATATATAAGACTTATAAAAGACTTTGAAAATATGCTGCACAGTACCAGTGTCAAGTTACACGTAAGATAGCCGTGACATGAATAGAACTTACAAAGAGTGCTAATGTAATTTGTACCCAACGAATCAGTGAATTAACAATGAAGTCGAGTTAGGAACGGCCGGTCTCGTTAGCTTTTCGTGTTAAAAGCGATTTCTCAACGGTTATCACCTCTCTAGATGATTCTTAAAACATTTGGACTTCATTGCATTTTTGAAATAAATGCAATGAGGGCGTTTTCGGCCACACCCTTTTTCAGGGTTTCTCGGTCACTCGAATTTTTGTATTTCAGCACAGGAAGGTCTTAAAGACTATTCCGATACACCAAAATATGCCTAATAGCCACATTTATATACAACTTATGAAGCAACATATACCTTAAAATGCTTCGTTTCGGAAATATGGCCGAAAAACGGTTTTTGGCTTGACGCAGTTCATAATTTCCGTGATTTTTGGCATTTCCGCCTAGGAAGGTCGTAGAGACTATTCTGATACACTAAAATGTACATAATGGCCACATTTATATACAACTTATAAAGCAACATATACCCTAAAAGACTTATCTTCGGAAATGTGGCTGAAAAATGGATTTTTGCCGAGCGAACAATGACAATATTCACAAATGGGCTATTGGACTGTTAACTAGAAAGGTCTTAAAGACTCATGAGCAACACAGCATTTGTCACAAGATGTAAGATGACTCACTTTGTGTCCAGAAACACCTACAAAAATTGGAGATTGATCTACTTTATTGGGCAGTATCGAGATAGCCCGACCACTGGTCCGCGGACCACTGTCCGCGGACCACTGTCTACCAGATCATATTACTGTATAATAACAGTATTCGAGGACGAGCAGGGAACCAGGGACATAGATGCATTACACCCAGGACAGGACATGGAGCTCTTTAGGAGGTTTTTCTGGAATAGGAAGTCTCTAGCATTCTCTAGGGAGGCGGTGGGTCCATTAATTTCGTCCATTAGACAGAAGAGTACCATGTCAGGAATTGGAATAGTTGTTGTTGTTGATGATGGCAACTGATAATACTTCACCAAAAACGAACGACTTATATACCACATTTTAATCGTAATCATTTATTTCATTGAGCAATCAATATTATTCGTAACTAATTATATCCGAGAGACCACATTTGAATCGTAATCAATAGTTTGATCCAGTAATTTACTACGCTACAATTAATTATGCTAGTCGTAACTAATTGCATCCAAGATACCATACATACCATTCATATGATCTGGTAACCAATCAACTATTCACAAACACCTGTTGCTTGATTCAGGGGATACTGTTATTATACAGTAATATGATCTGGTAGACAGTGGTCCGCAGACAGTGGTCCGCGGACAGTGGTCCGCGGACCAGTGGTCGGGCTATCTCGATACTGCCCATTATCATACGATGGGAAAATCTATGCGACTGAAAAAAAGAATATGGGGTCATTCTGAAGTGGGAACCAAACCACTGCGGTATTATAGGAAATTAGCTAAATTAAACTACGGCCAACAGATCTCAATCCAGGGATTACAGACCAATATTGGTCGAGGCAGCGAAATCAATCATAATTATAAAGTGGGGTACTGGTCAGCGGTCAAGCAACAATCTGGCCCAGATCCAGTGTCGATTTATTTTAGGTCCGGTATTCTTGGAACATATATCATGGTTTCATGACATGAATAAATAAAAAGTTTGAAGTTGAATTTTGGTCCGGCACGTCACACATTTTATTTAAATTGGTGCCAAGGAAAAATTGTTGGAGTTTTCACAAATCATGTAGTAGTTATTTATTAATGACTCCTAAAGTGAGCGTTTTTGAGTATATGATGTGCATGAGTCGGCAATTGCGAACAATTTGCTGTTAGCAACTGACCCATTGAACTTTACTAAAGAACCGTAATTTTGTAAAATTGCCCTTTCGTAAGACACAAATATGCTGCTGGCCTGGCCCATTAAGAAAGATGCCCAATAAAGTAGATCATTCTCCAATTTTTGTAGGTGTTTCTGGACACAAAGTGAGTCATCTTACATCTTGTGACAAATGCTGTGTTGCTCATGAGTCTTTAAGACCTTTCTAGTTAACAGTCCAATAGCCCATTTGTGAATATTGTCATTGTTCGCTCGGCAAAAATCCGTTTTTCAGCCACATTTCCGAAAATAAGTCTTTTAGGGTATATGTTGCTTTATAAGTTGTATATAAATGTGGCCATTATGTACATTTTAGTGTATCAGAATAGTCTCTACGACCTTCCTAGACGGAAATGCCAAAAATCACGGAAATTATGAACTGCGTCAAGCCAAAAACCGTTTTTCGGCCATATTTCCGAAACGAAGCATTTTAAGGTATATTTTGCTTCATAAGTTGTATATAAATGTGGCTATTAGGCATATTTTGGTGTATCGGAATAGTCTTTAAGACCTTCCTGGGCTGAAATACAAAAATTCGAGTGACCGCGAAACCCTGAAAAAGGGTGTGGCCGAAAACGCCCTCATTGCATTTATTTCAAAAATGCAATGAAGTCCAAATGTTTTAAGAATCATCTAGAGAGGTGATAACCGTTGAGAAATCGCTTTTAACACGAAAAGCTAACGAGATAGCCTTTTAGAACGGTTGGGATCCGACTATCGGTACCTCTTCGTAGCGTTAAAAATAACCGGTTACTGAGCTGATAAAGTGAGGTGCACAGTAAAGTGCTCTGCAACTGGTTACTGAGCTGATAAAGTGAGGTGCACAGTAAAGTGCTCTGCAACCGGTTACTGAGCTGATAAAGTGAGGTGCACAGTAAAGTGCTCTGCAACTGGTTACTGAGCTGATAAAGTGAGGTGCACAGTAAAGTGCTCTGCAACTGGTTACTGAACTGATAAAGTGAGGTGCACAGTAAAGTGCTCTGCAACCGGTTACTGACTACTGAGCTGATAAAGTGAGGTGCACAGTAAAGTGCTTTTCAACCGGTTACTGAGCTGATAAAGTGAGGTGCACAGTAAAGTGCTCTGCAATTAGCACTTGGAGAATAAAATGGTAAAAGAAAAAGCAGCGTACAAAATAATAAGTAAAAATGTGGAATCACCTAGACAACTAATTTGTGTTGAGTAAACAACAGTCTGTATTAGTGCTTTTCAATACAAATTAGAACGAGGCCTTGGTGTTATGAGCCTAGGCTTATTCCCCTTTTAAAGATACTTTCATAAGGCATCAGGTGACATTTCACGAGGGTGTTAATTCCTTTAACAACGGGGATTGTTCAAAGAAATTGTCCAAAGAAATTGTCCAAAGAAATTGTCCAAAGAAATGGGCGCATGAATATTCAATACTTGACAGACCAACCATTGGTTCAACGTGATCAATTGAATTTGAAGAAGAAACTTTCACTGAACTCTCAGTAACTCGGCCTAAATAAGGTTTGATTAGCTAAAGCTTGATACAAACTATAATAGAAGCCGGGTCACTCGTGAAAAGGTCACAAGTTGCAGAGTTGCAGGTCAGCACATTGCGGCAAATTCAAACATTTAATTCGGGGAAATCCAGTAAATACTAAGGTAATCCGTTTGACAGAGACTAGAAGAAAGTGGTTAAAGCACAAGCTGCACATAGTAAGAGCACTAAGAGCATTAACAACAATGCACCTGGGAACCTGGTGACACTGGGTGCTATGTACTTTAGTTGAGAGACTTGTCACGTTTAATACGCTAATGTACCAATAAACGGGGATGTGTGACAAGGAATTGTTTGGGAGGGGACAACTTAAACCACAACCTGAACAGCTGGCTAATAAAATAAAATTAGCCCGGGCTGGAGTTGATATGGATAAAAAGTAACAACGACACAGAATTAGATAATAGAGAGACGTCTGGCGAATCTGAGAAGTGGAAGTAAAGATCTGCGTACAATTATTATTGCTAAGATCGACAACTCGATCGTATTCAGAGTGCCAGTAGTCATTAGACCATGACTGTTGGTAAAATTGGCAAAATCAGTCGCCCTGCAGCAATAGGTATTTCCCTGTTCCCACGAGTTCGTAACACAGACACAAAAGGAACGACAATTGTGCTTGCCGGTTTCTACCAACATCAAATACACCACACATACAATGCATATAATAGCACCCAGAAAACAATAGTATTGGTAACATGAAAAACAGGGCGGAGCAGAGAAGAGCGAGGAAGCGCTACAATACAAGTCTTACCAAGAAGGGCAAATCACAGTAATAGCTGATAATGTGCTGGCACTGAGTTTAACAAGTGATCAGGGGGATATTCGTGTGCGATCTCATCAACTGGGCCATGATTTGTGGTGGTAGTGATTTGTGGTGGTAGTGATGTGTGCCGTGATTGTGTGGAGTAACCAGCAGTTACCATTAATAACCATTAGTAACCATTAGTAACCATTAGTAACCATTAGTAACCATTAGTAACCAGTAGTAACCAGTAGTAACCAGTAGTAACCAGTGGTAACCAATAGTTACAAATATTAACAAATAGTGAACAGAAGTAACCAATAGTAACCTACAGTAACCAATAGTAACCTACAGTA